TCATGCTACTTCCACCGATAGGATGAGCCGAATGGAATGAATCTTCCGCTAGAACATGGAAACTACCTGGTTGAATATGGCCGACACCTGCAATCGACGGTGCCGCGCAAAACAAACCCGCAGCGAAAAAAGACCCCGGTCATAAAGTTGCGCCAACACGAACCCCCCCCAAAAACCGGCTGTAAACAAAAAACCGTGTGGCGCCAACACCAACCCAAAAAAAAACGGCCGTAAACGAAAAACCGCGCCGGGCTCATGGTGCACCGGGCCCGCGCGGGAAAAAGGTCTCAGCGGGACGCATCATTGTGAGACCTGCTGTTGCCTTCAAGAGTATAGGGATGATTGAGTGAGTCTGTAATTCAACAGTTCATGGGTGTACCGACTGAGCTGGACTGGGTGTTGGTGAATGTGATGAAGTAATTGTGAATTACCTGGGGCCGGTCAGCAAGAGGATGATACCTCAAGACCGTCGCCCTTCTAAAAAAAAGGAGAAGGAGGAAAGAGGAAGGAAGGAAAAAAAAAGAAAAAAAAAAAAGAAAAGAAAAGAGGTAATCGTGTTCCTGTCACCTTTGAGTATCGAATGGGCAAAAGAAAAACGCGTCGGCAAAGAAAACCGTGTCTAGTTCGAAAAGGCAGCGGAAGTACTGATGGCGTTGGTGTCAGACCGGGTTTCATATTTACAGGGGTCGGCCGTGGTGTCAGAGGGGGAAACGAAAAAAAAAGAAAAGATGCCCAGTGGATACTTTTGGAACGAAATTGCTCATTTCGAGTTGGCGCATGGTTTCTTTGCCGGTGCGAGTGTTTTTTTGCCTTTAGGGTTTCAAAACATGCTCTGCTTCCGCCGTTATTTCAAAGAAAAATTGTTGAGTGAATACATGTTCAGGTGTGATTGCGAGTGTTGCGGACAGGTGTGTGTGTGGGCACTTCCTTCCTTCTCTCGACCACTCAAACGTGGGCAAGCTTGAGCTTGAAATATGAACTGCTGACAGCAAGCCTTGCACTACTTCTGTTCCCTGTGTGAATTTTGGGTGGTCGTAGTTGATCTTACACAGCTCACGCAAAGTCTAAGGAAACAAACTGTGGCATTCACCCCTTTTTCACCAGATGGAGTTGCGTTCAGCGAATACAAAACATGCTGCCCCCTGCTACAGTGTCTCCATCTACGGTTGGAGGCTTCAGGCCCTGATAACATCGATCCTTTTCGGCTTAAGCCAGCGCCGTTTGCAGTCATCCTTCATTCCTTGGTGAAGGACATCTTTTTGCCAATGTTGTATGAGTTCTGGGCTGGCAGGCTTGGCAAGCTAAGTAGCCACTGGCGTCATCATCCAGTGAGATGTTTTGTGTCGCAAGATTTGTGAAGAATGCATGGACAGTGGACACCTTTGACTCACTTCAAGTTGCCCATCTTGCGTGTGAGCATAAGGTTCAATTCAAATTTCATTAAAGGTCAAGCAATCTTGTGTCAGCATAAGTCCTACCCTCCATCGATACGTTGTTATGCATTCCATTTACATCAGCATAAGTTCTGTGCTCTGTTGTAACTTGGTTATATGGATTTCATTTTCCCTTGGCTATTTGCCGAATAGTACTTGGTACATAGAACAGTCATCTTGTGTCAGCATAAGGGGCTCGTTCGACACTCCTTGGGGCGTCCTCGGGGCCCAAGGAAGTTTCCTTGGGGGTTTTCAAGGAAATTCCCGCCATCGCTCCACCTGTTCCTCGGGAACGTCGCCCGAGGACATTTCCTTGGAGCGATGTCAGACAAGAAAAAAAAAATTAAAAAAAATCAAATGTGTTTGAGGCCTTCAGCCAATAGGATGCCGCCACGATCCAGATTCTCGGTTGTAACGTCTCTCTACCCATGTGCCCGCTCCTCTCCGTGAAACACGGATTCCTTTTGCCCAAGGGACCTCGTGAGGTCCCTTGGGCAAAAGGAAGAAATGGCTGGGGAATCCTCGGAGCCCAAGGAATTTTTCCTTCGGAGTGTTCAGAGTGTTTTCACTTTTTTTTTCCCGACTGCATCCCCGAGGATAGGTGGAACGAACAATTCCTCGGGGAATTTACGCCCCCGAGGAGTGTCGAACGAGCCCCTAAGTCGTAAACAGTACTAAGCACTCCTCTACCCTTTCTTCGCTCCTCTCCCCTTGCCTCTCCCCTCCTCCCCTACTGTCCTAAACACTCCATTCTAACCTTGGTTATGGGTTCCGTTCCGTTTGACTGCTTGCCGCACAGTGTTGTTACACTTACACTCAAGTACACCGCGTTATGTTACGTCGACCTTGCCAATGTTGGCGCTGATGTGGATGGTAGCTCAAAGTTCGAACACAAGAATGTACTAAAGACAATATAGATACACTTCTGGCAATCATCATGAGCTTGTGGCCGTCAGCGGCAGAGGTAATCAATCTGTTGATGAGCTCTTGCTGATCTAACCTAACACCCTGCTCCCCGCGAGAGTGTACATGAGCTCACGCCATCGAACTTGTGCTACCTGTAAAAGCAACATACCGTTCACGTGGACCTGTTTTGGGCCTCTGCTGTTACCAGGAAGGAAGCGTGTTGCGAGGGTCTCTCGCACAACACAAGTGGATCAGTATAGAACGTGAACCCGACTATAGTGTAGCAGTCAGGTACTACCCTCTCCAACAACCAAATATGTTGGGACTTGGAAGTAACCTCCAGTAAGATGGAAGCGAAGGGATAGAGGCTTCTACAGGTTTGCCAAAAGGATTGACAGCTCTGTTCAGGTCTAATAAGATGCATTGCCTTCTTTCGTGCTTGCTTGGGGGTCCCTTATGACATGTCACAGTGGATGGGGTTGGTCTGGTGGACCAGAAAGCTATAGGTATAGCAAATATTTGGAGCCCATAAGGGGTTGTGACTGGAAATCAATTTTTTTTTTTTTTTAATAAACCAAGCAATATTCTTCACTTAATATATCTCCCACTACTACCTACCTGTCTATGCCAGGTTGTTGAACAACCGGAGCCTGACGGGGGTAGCCTAAGCCTATGTCTATCCACTCTACTCTATGCAGGGACTAGTACCTAGGCTCCTGACCCCCAGTGAGGGATTGCGGGAGCAAGGGTGAAGCCTCCGAAAGCTCGGTCCACCAGACCAACCCCACCCACTATGAGTGGCATCTCATAAAGCGCCCCCAAGCAAGCAAGAAACCAGACAACCCATCTTAGACCTGGACAGAAGTGTTCGTTCCTTTAGCAAAACTGTAGAAGCCTCTATCCCTTTGCTGCCATCGAACCTTTGTCTTCTTTTTTTTCTTGCTAGAAAACTTAAAATGTATCTGGTGATTCAAACCCTCAACCAGACCCTTGTTGTCATTTGATTATTAATAATTTATTATGCATCATATGCAACGAGTTTGACGGAAGCTTCATTGACTTGCAGATTGCTGCGAGGGCGTGGGAATGGAAGAAGAACATGGCACTGGTTGAGTTGCAGCAGAGGAGTAAGGAGTTGGAACTAAAGCTTAAAGAAGTGCAGGCCGGCCAGGGCACGCCTGAGAAAGGTTCAATGGACAAGTCAAAGGAGGTGCTTCAGTTGAAAAAGGAATTGATCGAAGAAATTAGGAAGGCCATAGCAAAGGCCACAGATTCTGGAAGCAGATGGGCATCCATTGGGTCAGGCCATAGCCATGCAGCCCATGCTGTCAGCGTGGTGCGTGAGTGCGCAAATGACAAGTAACCCTCAGCCCTGTCACCTGCTCCTGCTCTTTTCGCTCTCCGGCAATGTTTGCTTTTTTTGTTGTGTTATGACCTGTCATCACACGGACTGAAACAGACAGCCGATTTCTGAGTCTTGCCGTGGAATGCATGCCATACTAAGTTCCCCCGCCTGCTAAGTCTGCTTGTGTGTGTGTGTGCTGGACTGCATGTCTGTCTGAATGCTGGCTGACCTGTGTGAGTGTGCTGCGTGCCTGTCTAAGTGACTTGAGTGTGTGTGTGGCCCCGTCGGGGTCGTGGATGTGGGGG